AGGGCAGGATCGGATTCATATTGAGCAACGCCACCCAGATGCCGCCTTTTCGGCTGCGTCCGAGGCGTGGACCGTGGAGACTGGAAGACCAACACATGATGCATGTGGCTCAAGTTAAAATAGCATGCACAATGACCGAGTAAGCTTACTTGTCCCTTGGGTTTCGACATGTGCTCCGTTCTTGGTACCTGAACCACACGACATCGAATCCAGGTAGTACTACCGACACGATATGAGGCCGTCGTCATGTCGAGACGAGGCACGCGCGCAAAAAGAAGAGAATTGAGGCTCTGCAGGATTGCCGGCACTAGCAGCTTCGGAAGAATCCCTTTGCCCTTCTTACCTTAGTAGTCGGTGTAGAGGGTCGGACAGGCTGATTTGATGCCTAACCGCGACGAGCAGGTACGGATACGACGATGGATGGATGCGAGAGGGCGCCATTTGCCCACCATCGTCACGGTGTGTATCGTGTCGTAGGGCTGGTGGGAGCGTGGACACACACGGACCTCGGAAGGGTGCAACGGGCTGGTTCCACGGGGCTAACGATGGAAAAGACGACACGCGTTTGACTGTTGGAGCATCTGCATCTTTGGAGCGCGCGCTTATTGGCATCGTTGTGGTGGTTCAAGTTAGGTGCTCTACTGCTCTTGTTAGCTGTACCACTTGTAGGGACTTGTAGGTCATCGTAGTTAATGGTCAAGGTACGGAGTCATCCCCCTACGCCGTCCGTTTCTTTCGGTATAAAGTTGCGAACCAGGGACATGAAACGACATCGTCACGGCCACACACGATGAGTTCCCAAACCTCCGCACAGTATCCATGGATGCATCTCAAGCTATACACCAGAACAGCGACAGGCCCCCAATTCCTTCAGCGCTTCAGCTGCCGCACCTCCTGCAGCGGCTCTGCGCTCTAACCGCTGTAGGGCGTAGCGCACATGCACGTCGCCTGGGCCTCGCTAGCAGGTGCATGAGGGCGCTGCGCCGGTGCTGTCCACGTCCCGGAACGGCCATTGATCAGTTGATAGTCCAGCTGCTTCCCGCTGACTCTCTTCTTCTTCTTCTTCTTTCTCCTCCTCCATCGTCTTCTTCACCGTCGTCGCCGTTCTCTTCTCGTCGTCGGCCCCCTGCTGCTGCTGTTGCTGCTCAAACCCGCGAGCTCTCCAGCGGACCGCCACTAACACGCAGCCAAAACGAAAGCTTCACACCAAAAAGTCAACCGCCTCTCCCCCCAGACGCCACTCCCGCCCTGCCAGCCATGGACCATCCCGGCGCGACCATTTCCCTGGCCTCCATCACCAACCCCAGGGCCCGGTCCCGGTCCCGCGACGGCCGCTTCATCGACGAGCCCAAGACGTCGCGCCCGTCGTTCGGCTCGCGCGAGTCCAGCTACGTCTACCCCGAGGAGGACCTGGACGGCCGCCCGCGCTCCCGCCGCACCAACGGCCCTGGCTCCGCCTCCGGCTCCGGCAGCCTCCTGCCGTACCCCGACGACGACAGGTATCTGCCGCAAAAGTATGGCGGCCGCCGCCACGAGGACGACGACGACC